TAATTTTTAAATCACCTAGCATGGGTTATAATAGTGTATTTGGATCGCTTAATTTTTTCTTTTTTCTGCTTGTTTTATCTATTTTCATTTATATTAGAATCGGTTTAGGTTCTTTTTTCCTTTTTTCTTGTTGTTTCATTTTCTTTTTTGAGTTTTGTTTTCTTTTTTAGAACAATTTCTATTTTTTTTAGTTATGAGGAAGCTTTTAGGGATTTTTTTTAAATGTATTTTCCTTCATAATTTTAGTATATATTTTAGTTTTACATAGAAGTAAGAGGTAGTATAAATTTGCTGAGATCTAAGTGGATTGAGTTCAGGAAGATATTACCAAAATTTTAGGTGAAATAAGTTTGAAAGGAGGAATCAGCTCTTAAAAAAAGTTTTTCTTTTGTAAATTGGCATATATATTTGCGCTATGCAGAGTAGGAGAAAATATTTTCTGCTCAAATGTTAGTAAAATAAGTCTAGAAGGAAGGCAAGATATAATCGGTTTGAATATAGATAGCTAAGTACCAAGCTATAGCAGGTTTTTAAATACAAGTAGCACTGTATATAGAGCTTGTTGGCAACATCAGTGCAATAACCATACTTGGGCACTTTTATAGCAGCCGGGTATTTGTCTAATATATAAATTAGATGGTTAATTTTGTAAATTACAAAAATTCTAATAAATTAGTACAAGGTTATCAAAGTGAAAAAATATATATATATATATAAAAGTATAAGAGATATAAAAGATAATAGTAAATCTATTTCTTGATTATTTAGCTAACTAATAGTCTGTTTATTATATAGTGGAAGTCAATTAAAAAGGGACAAATCATTTTTAGTAAAATTTTTTTAATTTTTAAATTAAAATATCTCAACAACTAATTAATCAAATTTGCTAAAAATTTTTTATTTTAATCTTGAAATTATATAGAATTAAAATAAAAAAATTTTTATTAAATTTGATAAAATAATTATTAAGATATTTAAGCCTAAAGTCAAGAAACCTTTTACTTAGAAAAAATTTATCTCTTTTCTATTGACTTACCCCATATATTATAGTTTGTTTCAATCATTAGGATCTAATAGAGATAAAATCTCTAATATATTCTATAGTATTAACACAACATAAATCATGCATATAAAGAATATTCTTTTTAAAATAATTTATTGAAATTTACAATATTTACTATTTAATTCTATTTTATTTGTAAAAGCATAGATCAAATCAAAATAAGCTATTAAAATTCATAAGTATTTACTATTTATTTTATTTTATTAATATTGGCATAAATTGTAAGTATAAAGAATATTTAACAATTCTGAGTATTTGAAATAAACTATTATAATTTACAATTATTTACTATCTAATTTTATTTTATTTTGTTAATATAAATTACATGTATAAAAAATATTTATTAATCTAAGTATTTATAATATGCTATTAAGATTTACGAGTATTTACTATTTAATTCTCTGTCACACTAAGTGTTACTCATGACTATCTTTATTAATATTTTTTTTATATGTGTTTAATCATATTTATAATAATTATATTGTAGTTAGAAATTTTTTCACAAGAGATTTTCGGTCTCATATTGATAAACAGAAAACTCCAATTAATTTTTATTTGAAATATTTTCTTTTTTGTATTTTTCACGTTTTATCTAAAGAACTTTATAAGCCAAAGTAAATAAAAACAGTAAAATGAAACTAAAAAAAGGCACAATAAGAGCAAAGTAAAAGTAAGAGTTTGAAAAAAGTCAAACATAGAAGTAAAAAGCAAAGATAATAAAAAGAGTAAATAAAAAAAATAATAAAAAAGGCCCAAAAGTTAGTAAAAAACAATATAAATATAAATATAAAACACATATAAAAATAATGATATGGTAGTTTGATTAATATCTAGTGATATGCTTCTGGAGATTATTTATTTATTTCCTGTGAAAAAATTATAACAGAGGTTACTAATGATCATAGTATGTGGATAGCTCTTCGGGCTATCTATGTGCTATAATCATCAGTAACCTCTGTTATAATTTCTACTTCTTTAGAAAATAAATAATACAAATTTCTCTATATAGAAACTGATATTAACATAGTTATAATTTCAGACCTTATTTTTTTTCTATTTAGGAATAGTTTGTACTTTTGTGAATAGTAATACAAATAGTAAAATAGATGATAATGTGAATTTTTTTTCTTGCAAAAGTAAATTCCCATAAAATTCTTGATCGAGAATCATCAAAACATTTGCTATGTATATCTTTTTTGGTAAGATCTACTTAAGCATTTTAGGAAAAAAAGTTTCATGTTTTTAAATAATAGTACTATTTGAATTTATTTGAATGATAAAGATTAAATAGTAGTAGTAATGGTAATAGTAAATAGTACTAAAAAAATTTTTGATTTAAAAAAATTATAAAAAAAAAAACCTTAAATGGTAAGAATTTTAGCTTTGTAAGTTCTTTATTCTATGTTTATTTATTATCTTCTAAAGTTTTTACTTTTTTTTTGTTTTTTTTTGTATCAGATTTTTTACCAGACAGATGAATTGATAATCACTAATATTAAAAGCTATAGTGAAAGAATTTGGTTACTTACAAATAGCCATCAATTAAAAATTTAAAAATAGACAAACGCGCATATGTATGTACATACATACATGCATTTAGTGATCCTAGCCGAAACAAAAAAATCAACTAAGCTGATTTTTTGACCCAGCCGGTCAATTTTGTAAGTGAGGCTATTTATCATTATATAATAAAATGGATTTCTCAAATTGTGCACTACTAAAGTTTTTTTTACATTGATTAATTTTAATATTGTATCTACCCAAAAACTTCACTTACATTTCACAGTTCTTGGTTGTTTAACAGCCAATTTTCCAGCAACAACATTAAATTAAATTAAATTAGTCAGTGCGATGTATTCACAAATATATATGTTTACCATTATTTAATTTGCATTACTTTAGTTAAACTAGTCAAAGCTCACATTAATTTATTTACAGCTGTTTCTATAAGTTCTGGAAATTTAAAAAATTATTGATAACCGAATTAATGTCTGCTGATGCTAGTAACTTAATGATTCTGACTTGGTAACTTATCGATTCTGTACCGGAAAATTTTTTAGCTGCTCAAGAATTTATGAAAACAACTGTAATAAAGAATGAAATTTAAAATAGGCTTATTAATATTTCATTCTACCAGATAAACTGAAAATTTTTCAGCTAAGTCAACTAAGCTGATAAAATTTTGACTGGCTGGAACTTGATAAAAATTAGCCAAATGATTTTTCTGCTGATTCAATTAAGTTAGTGATCTCGGCATAATAGATTCTATAAATTGATACAATATGTATATACGTACGCACATATATATTTATGAATTTAGATCAAATTATTAATATAAATATTATACCAAATATCTTAAATCAAATACAGAAACATGGTGCTTTCAAATTATCTTCACTGGTGAATAATTTTTTTAAAAAGCTTATCATTTCAAAAATTGCAAACACTTAGATGATTTTATGTCATTATAGGTCGAGTTTTCAAGCATCTTCGAAGATATGAATATATTGAAAACTTCTATGAAAAATATTAATAAAATCGGGATTTTTGAATGGAATTTTGAGTCATATCTTTAAACCAGTTGACAAAATTCTTGACCATATCTCGTGTAATATGTTTATTATAAATATATATTTTATATCTGGAGCCTTTTTTTATTTCTTGTCAATATTTAGCCTTTCCATAAGCCTTTCCATAAGTTTTAGTTCAATCTAAACACACCAAACATTCAACCAAATTTTAATAACATTGAACGTGTCAACATTTTATAATGATAAAATTATCTGTAGATCAAGTGTTATTATGTGACATATGTTTTTCATATATATCTTTCATATATTTGATATAGGGTGAAAATTACTATAATTTGTACAAATTTGTGTAAGTTTCTGAATTCAAAATTACATATGTGAATAGCATTGGCCAGAACTTTCGTAGAGCCGGCACATAAAGTTTAGTAATGGTGGCAAAACTTTTATGTTATCGCACTATTTAATGTAAAAGTCATATACGTACGCGCATACGTTCAATTTTGTAGAAATTACAAACTTAACTGAATCGGCCGAAAAATCATTCGGCTAATTTTTATTAGGTGTTTCAGGAATTATGTAAAATAAAATATACTGAACGTCAAATCGAAAATGCGTCATTTACTATTTATTTTTTGACATTTCATATTGTAAAATCATATAGATAACGTCTAACCCATATTCCCGTTAAAAGATGGGTTAGACGTTATCTAATTTCATAAATTCTCCGCAATGTCAAATCCTGAAAATAAGAATTCCGCCAGTGTGAAAATCCCAATAAAGTTAGCCAGGGTCGGGCCAATTTTTGACCTGTGACCTGCCAAGAAACTAACTCAAACTGACCCGGGTAAGAGCTCTAATAGGACCCGGATAATACTAATAGAGGTACGAGTTGAGTTAATAGTAAATTTTCAGACATTTTGTCCACTCTTTTGGCCCAACTTTTTTTAAATTCTGGCTAAATAAAATTTAAATTTTTTAATTTGACCAGAATTTAGAAAAGTTTGGGCCAAAAAAACCATTCAAATTTAACAAAAACATGTCCGGTTTTAGTAATTGTACCCTTTTTAGAATTTATCTGGAGTCCTGCTAGCGCTAGTACAGTATATGTAAAATTTATACAAATACTTTCAGTTCCCGTGGGTACGTACTAGGAAAAAAACACTAGCTAGTTTCCTAATTTATAAATTGATCAGCACTGAACTTATGGTAATTATATGGTATATATATAACAATTTATTGCACAAAACTCAACCGATTTCAACTTAGCGCTAAACTAAATTCGCTTAAATTTTCGATGATCCCAAATCATGATTGATTTTTGGGGTCAATTACACGACATTTGCATGCTTATATGAGAAAAAGGTTTAAGGCCTATTTATCCAGAAATCTCTAAAAACAAAAAAAAAATGCATTTTCGAGGATTTGAAATTGAGGTATTAGTAAATAATGTGTTACTTGATGAATACCGTGGACCTAGAAATAGTGTACCGGTAATGTTGATGTACATTTGAGATCTTTGGGCGAATGGGTTTTATGAATAAGTATCGATATTTATACTCTTAGTATAGATATACCAGTCCAAATTGGGTTGATAATGAAAAAACAAGAGTACGAAATGAAAGGTAAAAGAAAGGTTTAATCATTTATTTAAATCAGTTTACATGCATTTCTACCTCCAAATCCAATTTATCACTTTTTTGTAGCCCATATCTTCATTACATAGCTTTCAGAACCGTACCAACCTATTTCACTGTTCGAGTTTCATCTACGGATACTACATATCAACGACCGCTTCGAGTATTAATAAAAATTGATGGAATTTCACCGCCAAATTATCCAACAATCGACCTCTATGGAGTCGAGAAGAAACAGCAAAATTATGTAGTAAATAATAATCCTAAACTGGTTGGTGCGATATCTGCTTACTTTTATCCCACGATTTCTTCTCATGTAAAATCCAATGTTCCTGTTGCTTTGTTGCATTTACATTATCGTTCAGTTGATGAGTTGAGACAGTGGGGATTTAATGTTCCGCTAGATGTTAAGCAAGATGGTATAGATAACGATGAAAGACAGATTAAATGGGAGAATATTGATGATATTGAAGGGTGAGTGTGCAAGAAATAGAACGTGAAAAGGGAATATAATTTAAAGGATATGATATGAAGGATTAACGACGAGCATTTGAAGCATTTGTAATTTCAGAAGTAATTCAAGAAGTTATCCATATAATTTCATACACATTTATGTTGGCATGTAATAATTCTTCATTTTTATTAACAAATTATACTGAAATTTCTGATTTCCTATAGAAATTTTGTTATAAAGACTGAAAATCATAAGTTAATGAACATGAAAAAAAAAAAAAATTAATACAGGATGAATAAAAAGATTCGCTATTTTCATTTGGGTTGACATATTTAAACAATTATTTATTACGCGTACGAGTTGAAAGTGTCTACTTGCTAATAGATATACTGGTTCGCTTCCTGAGGTTATTGTAAACCCTGGTTATCAAAAAATATAGTATATATATATATATATATATATAATATCAGATATTAAATCTCTTGTAATAAAAAACCATATCCTATTAATTATAAATATAGCTAAACCTTAAGGCGAAGGGGCAGTAGTTCCAGCATGTTCAACAGGTTCAGGAATATAGTATGGATTAGGTAACGCATCGGCGTTCGAGATGATAATCATAATAACCAAAAAAAAGAAAATTGATGAAATTTTCATTTTATTCCCACGTAGAATGTACGATTAAGTGAAAAAATGCGTAAATATATTAGCTTTGGGTTCGTTTGAAGGAATATAGTTTTAAAACACTTGTTTAATAGGGAAATGCATGTCTGAATTCCATTCAATAAATAGGAAATACAACAATATATATACATCGTATATATTAATACGTAATTGTAGGGCGTTTATATATATATCTATATATGTACGTACATACGTACGTACATGTTCGTTCTCGATTTTTTTGATTGCTGATTGGGTTGGGGTACGTACGTACTTACGTAGGTGTGTCGCATGTTACTCGTAATTTCTATACCGAGTCTACAACATAGGATAAAGCTTTGGTAAAAAGACCCGTGGTATACAAATAGTAAAATAGAATAAACCCCAATTATCAGACCCGCACCCTATACAAGAGATCCACGGGTCTAATTATAGATTTTAAAATTGGTAAAATGAATTAGACCGGGTCTTGTATCAGCAGTTTACGGTATTATTGAAATCACACCCTGATGCCTTATAAAATACGATCGATGACATCACTGGTGTGCTTTAATAAACTAAAAAATTTTTTATAGAATTCTTTTTTTAAAAATTTGCTAATTTTGTACAAGAGATGCAGTTCTATCTATAAATATTTCGAGTTCTTTCATTTGTATATTAGATATAGTGAATAACTGAATTACGATATTGTTAAACTTATTAAACTTCAATTCAATTTAGTACAGTACAATATATATATAGTATTATATGGTTGCAGGGTAAACTTTAAGTGAATATTTAAGTTTTCACCGTAGCGAGTTTACCTCCGATGAATTGTGGTATTACATAATTATTTTAATAGAATATCTATATGTTATTGTATTACGAAAATTACCATATCAATGCCAAGGTATAAAATTATAGTGGGGCTAAGTTCGCGATACAAATATTTTCTTGTTTAGTGTAGAATTAAACCTTATTGGACAATTGGACCAATTGGTTATTGTATTAATAATATTAACCATAGCAAAATTGTCACGGCAGATTCTCGATTTTGATTGGCTAAGAGCGACGATCAAAAATTAGGCCGAAAATTACGGTAATTTATTGTGAGATACTAAAATGGTAAGTTACTGGTAAGTTACTGTAAGTTACCGCGAAAGTAATCTTTCCGAAAGTATCCGTTTTCATGTCCGTTAATTGCTTACTATTACGAAATTTTCTGATAATGTACGGACTTTCAAATGAGTATTTGGTATCCTACCATGGTAACTTACGGTAATTTACCGTAATTTACCGGTAGTTTACTACGGTAAGTTTACCACTAACAACCCTGATCACAGCCATCTAAAGTGAAAATTGTTCCTGGGCCAATTTTACCATAATACGGGCTTATTTTATAAAAATTTCTATTTTTGTAAAGAAAAAATCAAAAAGTTAATTTCGGCCGGAAATTAGTAAACAATTATGTAATGCGGGCCAAAATTTCGAAGATCCTTGGCCGTTAGCCAATCAAAATCGAGGATCTGCTGTGACAATTTTGGGAAGGCAATTCTGTCTTTATTATACAAGAAGAGTACTAATTTACTTTAAATAGGGATGTTTTGGTTTAGTCTTTAAAAAGTCCAGTTCAAAACTAGTTGAAAACTAGTTTACTCTTATCAAAATGTGGTCCCACACTAGTCCCACACCAGTCCTACTCTAGTGGTTTAGAATAAATTTTTTTATTACAAACCTATGTATTACAGTATTATATATAACTGTTAACAAAAAAAAAAAAACATAAAGAACTATATATTGATATACTGTACTAATTCTAAAATTCAAAACTATTCTTTACTATTCCTGTATCATACCATGTTTTTAAACACAGACTTGCATGAACCTTATCATTATCCATTTGGTTTTGCAATGTACTTATTGTGTGTTTTGCAAGAGAGAAAGCCTGTTTACTTGGGACACTAGTTGCCTGAGCAACTAGGTAATCTCAGACTATTTTAACAAGAGGTGTCCACTTTATATTTAAAGTATATCTATATTTTCATCAGGTATATTCAAATATTCATTTAACACATTACAACTAATTGACATATCACTATGAGATTGTTTTAACTGATTTCGAAAGTAATTACAAGAAGAACTAAACTGATTTAATTCTAGAACCTGCATAGTTGTTTTTGATTAAAAGGAGCACAACTTTTATAAGTTTTATTAATTATTTGACAAATATTATTTATTTCAGAGTTAGAGCAATAAGTTGAAATTTTAGATGACAGATCAAGCAATACTGCTTCTAGAAAAAAGGATTGTAATTCGTCCCAGTACTTATCAAGTTTTTCAAGTATTTTTTCAGATATATGCGAACTTACTGAATTTTTTTTATTTTTAGCTTCAGTAAGATATGCAATAATTACAGAAAAAACCATGCGCATATCTCTGATTGTCGGTAAGTAGAGAAGAAAAGTAGTTTAGTAGCTTTATAAATAGGTTCTAATAGTATTATTATGATATTAATATTAACACAATCTTGTTTATTCATAAATTGTTTTTTAAAATATAGTATTGAAACCACTAATATATTTGTCATTTTTTTTATTTTATATAATTTTTTTAACATTAAGTATAGCAAATTCTACCTGGTTTTGTAATTGGTTTTGAGCACCAAAAATGGTTGACTTTTTATTGTAAAAATTTTTTTTGACTCTTCTAGACAAGGTTGGGAGTGGCAAATACAACTCGCAAAATCTCGTACTTTTTTAGTTGATTTATCAATTATAGAAAGACTATTAATGACAGTGAGATTAAGTATATAGGCAGTGCAACATAACTAGCAGAAAGTAGTATTATTATAGTTATATTTTAACATATTAACAAGATTTTCACCACAAACATCCATGTTGCTTGCATTGTTAGTAGTTATTAACAAAATTTTTCTTCCTAAACTAAAATCCTTAATTATTTCAAAAATCATATCAGCCAAAAAAATACCTATATAGCATTCATAGAGGGGGCAAAGTTCAAAAGTATACAATGCAATTGCTATTTATTGTTAATTCAATATAAGGTGATGGCAAGAAATTTTTAATTTGTACATGAGGACCATGTATCAGTTGTAATTAATATCTTGTATCCAAAACTTTTAAAAAAATTACATAGTTATCTATATTCTCTTTTATATAGCTGCTAAATATAAACAAAATCATTTGTCTACAAGAAAACCTATAGCGGGGATTAAGTTCAAAAACAAACATTCAAAGATCTTCATTTTCAACAATGCAAAAAGGCTGTTGGTTGCAAATTATTCAATGTACTAAAAGCCTATTTAATTTTTTGACTTTTTTTTCATTGTGAATATTATATTGATTAATAGCTCGCAGAGGTGATACCTAGAGCAATTGATTGTATTCAAATTTGTAATTGGCTTTAAAATGCTGTTTGATTGTACTAATACTAGTAGTTATACTATATTGTATTTTAGGGCACAGGCTACAAATAGATTTTTTATCCTATGATTAGGGTTGTTAATAAAGTACTCCAGTATATAGGGGGGAGTCAATAGAAATGTGACAAATTTATTAAATAGATTTGTTCCATTTTTATTGACTCCCTTCCATATATTAAAACATATAACCCACTCTGGAGTACTTCAGAAATAGGTTATATATTTTATTAATATCTAGAGAACTCTATTAATAACCCTACCCGAGATAGTGTAAAATAATCCAGATGGGGTGTGCATTTTTACTACACTTAGATAATTGTTCTTCCAATCTTTCAGTATTGATTATACAACTAAAATTATTACTTAATACAACTAAATCATCATCAAGACAAGATATATTAGAGAAAGGTATATTAGAGGTAGATGCAAAATTTTGTAAATGTTTATTAAAAGACATAATGTAACCAATAAAATTTTAAGAAAACAAATTTTCATTTAAGCAACACTTTTATACTTACAAAAAATATATATATATATATAAAACAATTATCAAAACAAAGAGAAATCTTTGAGTTTAATACAATTGTTTTATACAGCTAACCTATCAAAACCTCAAGTGCTATATATAGTAGAATTTTATAAACTTTTCCATCTTTTACTTTTTTTTGAAAGCCCAAAATCAGTAATATACATATCATATATAGGCAACACAAAGAGAGGATCTTTGGGTTTGATGTGATTGTTTTATAGACTTATTGAGATATTTATAATAAAAAAAATTGTAAATTAAAAGTATATGGTAGAAAACAATTGTCATAAGGGGAATTCAGACTAATATCATTATAGCCTAAAGTAATAATTCAAACAATTAAATAAATGATAGTTCCAACTTTATGTTTTTATATTTATCACCATCATGAATTGATTATCATTAATCTAA